GATTGAAATTTATCTAATACCTTTTCAAGCAAGAACCATGCTGAATTTTCAAACATAGCTGGATTTTTCCCTTGAAATTATTTCTTTAGTCCAAACTGGCAGAATGCTACAAGCCTTATTCTGAAGCCATTTTATCTTAGTCTTGCAACAAGTCCAAAATGTTCAGAGTAGTTCCTCTATCCAGGATGAACTGTTATAAATTTTAGTGTTAGATTATGTACGTGCATTTAGATTATCTGTATGTGTATGGTTTCTGTGGACTATTTCTGTAGGCAAGCTTATCTAGTCGTAGGTTTTTAATTCTCTGTGTCACTGAATTAAATTTTATGAAAAGTGTATTGCATGTCCAGTGTTAATTTATTTATTCTTGAATCAGGTAATCAAATTTAGTAGGCTATATAAGCATCTTTGAACAACTCCACTTTCCACTCTTACGAGAGAGTTATAGGATTCCTATGTGCAACGCTTGTCTTTTATTAGTATTTCCATGCCATAGGCTTTTACTTAGTTCACATAAATATTAGATGCTGCACCTAGTTTATGAAAATTAATATAAACAGCACACTAGTATCTAAAACTGGGAGCTCCCTTATTTATCTGGAATTGATCCCTGTTACTGCGATTGTATTATGTGACCTTGTTTAATCTAGAAAGGGACCTCTTTTTTCCTCTTTTTTCAATGATTTGTGGATGTCCAGGGATGGTTAAGTTGTGACCTGCTTTTGTTTTGGTTTAATTCCCCAAGTCGCAGGACTGATAGGACTTACTTCCCTTCTTGTAACTGCAAAGTAGTCTTACATGTCTATGTTTAAACTCATTGTTTTGTTTTACCTTTTTTCTTGTTGTTGTTGTTGTTTGCGTTTTTTTTTCTATTTAATGTATGCTCAAGCCTTGTGGGACCTTTTAAAAACTGCTTTGCTTTTAAAAATTGAAGTAAATGTGTTTTTCTTGTGTAAGTCACGTTTACTTTATGGAATTTTGGCACCTGAAGTATTTTGGTACTAGACAGTCCCAGTGGGCATGTGATTCCTTTTATATTTGAAAGCTGGTTAAATTTAGGCAAACTAGGGGAAAAAGAAAAAAAAAGAATTACAAAGAAGTTAGTAGAATATAACAGTGTATAAAAAAAAAAAAGGCAAAAAAAAGTTTACAAGACTCCTTACAGTGTTGCCAACATCAGGCTTTAAAAATAGCAAGATTTTTTTTTTTTTGGCTGTTCATTATTTTTTTTTTTAATTTTAAACACAAATCCTAGATACTTTTTAAAAAGCTTTTTTTTTCTCTGTGTGCTTATTTAAATTGTGGTCATCTCTCAAAAAATGTGTGTAAAATGCTTTTTTTTAATAGGAAGTCCATGCATGTCATACGACTCAAGGATGTGAGATGTTGAGAGAAACATCAAGCTGAGACCAGGAGCACAGTTGAGGCCTGGCAGCCACGTGCTTACAACAGTAGCATTCAGCTCAGAGCGGCTGAGATACGTCTCATTCTATGACTTACACAAGAAACATGTGTTTTTAATTTCCAGAACAGTTCATCTGGATATGGGGGGGTATAGCCATGAATTTCTTGAAAGTTAATGTTCGGTTTTAGAAGTGATCAAAAGTATCAAAAGTATTCAATATAAGATGACTTCAGTCATTGTAATTCCTACTGAAAAGATTGGAAGTACCTAAAACAGTAAGAAACTTGCATTTCTTTCAGTGGCCTTTGGCTCTACGTTGGCAGAACCACCTGAGATGTTAGTTAGATGTCTTGCAGGAGGTTTGAAGTTGAGCTGAAGCTATCAAGTTCAGATTACCTCTGTTGCCACATGGCAGCCTCTCTGCACAGTGACAGCTTACAGGGGTGCAGAGACTTGAGCTACCACCCTTCAAGTGTTGGAAAGATAGATGTGACAATTTATCAAAGCTGGTAAATTAAATTAGGCCAAAGTATAATTGCCAATGTAATAGTTTCAACTTCATTACAAGTTTTTACAGTAACTTGACAAGTTATTTTGTCCCTGTCCATATCACAGAAGCGCGTTCTTTTAAATCCCGTTTGCCAGTAAAGTCATATGCCAGCCACAATTTTCCATTTCTTCATGCTGGAATGAATAACAGCACCATGCTTTATGTAATTGAGACACAAATAAAATGTGATTGATGTTGTAGGTCTGTGTGTGTAGAAGCTCCACATCCTTGTTTTCTTCCTATATAAAGATCTGAATGCCCCTGTGAAAATTTTTGATTCTGTGGTAGTGGGCACCACAAAAGGAACAAGGGAAAAATGAGACTCTGTCTGTAAAGGTAAACCTTTAGAGGGGCTAGCACTTTCTGCTGCTATTACCTTCTGTTTGGAAGGAGACTACAGCTGATTTGGATGATCTGGAATTCTACAAATTTAATTTTAGACATATTCTAGATCTTTGTCTTCTGTTCTCCCCACCTAAGTACCCAAAGTTACCCAAAGTCCTCCTTCTGCCTGATTTTCATTTGGCTCATTGATTGAGGGTTTTTTATTCCTGGCTACATAGTACTTGGTTTCAACAGGAATCTTAAGAACAGGAGTTGTAAGAGCAGCATACTTCATGGCGTAGCCCTCGGGTTCTGCTTCTGCAAAGGGTGGGATTCTTATTTCCTTCTGGCTGAAAGCTGTAAACACTGGATTGTAGAACTGAAGCAGGGCAGAACTAGAAACGTAGCTATGATATTGGATAAAATCAGTCAGCACTCGTCCGATTTTGGCTTCTTCCCCAAGAGAGTTGTACGGATTGGGTGCATTGCTGTCAAAGCTGGAGTAGCACATGAGGGATGTTCTCCCATTTCCCTAGCAGGGGCAATTTAGGGCTAATGAATAATTGAAGGTGATGGACAATGAATGGGGAAAAAATTGTGCTGAATGAAACCTTAATGTGAGTAAGCACCTGCAGGGTTAGTTGGTCCTGGAGTGCTGGCAGGTGGGATTTTTCTGCGCATAAAACCTAAGCCTTATTAGAGGCAGTTTCAGTCTCACAGTGTGTCACTACTGTAATTAGCTAATCCAAAAGAAAACATGAAGTTTCATTTTATTCTCACTGGGAATTTAATTATCAAAGCTTTGAGGAGCAAATTACAATGATAGAATAGTTTTGTGGTTGATCATATGTAAAATTTAGGCAGATCTGATGGATCAAGGAAAAGAAAGCTTACTCTGTCATACATCTTGTATTTGAAGGGAGTGGCTGAAACTAATATTTTCTTTCTTTGGAATGGCACACATGGATTGTTCCTAAGCAGTTATGCCACAGTGTAAGCTTACATTGAACTTTATATTCTATTTTCTGACAAGCTGCAGGTTATTCTGAGGTGAATGTATTTGCAGCAACAAAAGTGTCCATGTCCGGAAATACAAGGCTGTGTGTAAAGATACTTTGTTTTTAAGTTTTCTAAAGGCAAATGTATTTGAAGCATAAATTGTGTGATAAAAATAACTATTTTTGCTAAGTGCTGACATCCTAATAGCCCAGGAAGCTGGAGCCAGCAGTCCCGTTCTGTTCTCTGGGTGTCATCTCAATCACTGACTGTGTCTCACTAGGCAAGGCTCGGTGTTCTTTTTCTGTCCATGCAAAATTGCAGTGGTTTGACTTGTATCCTCTTTTTGCAGTATTCCTGAAGCATAAACAAGAGCAGATTTAAATAAAAGCAAGATGCTAAGAGAAATGAATGTCAGCCACCAAAAACGCTTGGACCACAAAAGGAATGTATCTGGAAGGAACCTTTTTTTCCAGAATATTTTACTGAGAGGCAGTAAAAAGACAAAAATGTTAAATAATTGGATCCCAAAGGTGTTGCGTGTAATTTTGAAAGGGATATGTAGTGCCTGGAAAGGTTGCGAGATTACGCTTACTAATAAATATTCTGAATCATAAGTTTTAGGGAGATAATAGGCATAATAATGTTAGGTAACCTGTAACTTACAACAGTGTTCTTTACAAGTAGAATATCTTGTAAATCTGTCCTTGTGATGAACAGCAGCACTTGCTCAGACTAAAAATAATAACAGGACCGTGTATCTTGGATCCCAAGAGACTATTGGTGTTTTTGTAGACAGCAGACTGGAGAAAAAGGCATTTTGTCCTTTTTACCCCAAGTAATCCCACTGGAAAATTAAACATGTGCAATGAATTGATATCGGCTCATGCCAGGTTGCCTCCCTAAAGAGGGCTGATGCAAACACTGTTGCTCCATTTCTTGGACAGCAGTTTGATGGCCGGTGTGCATGATGGATATTTTATGCTGTATGCTACTGTGGAACAGTGTGCTACTGTCTGCCCCTTGGAGACTGCTGGTGAGGTGTGCCACAAATAACTGGGAACAGCAGCTCCTTTAACCCTACGGAGAATCTCAAATATCTGCAAATTAAAAATGCTACTGAAATATTTCTCTGTGTGTGTGTCTGAGAAAACTATGTTGGGTTTTGGTTTTTAAGGTTTAGTCCTGCAAAACAAAGTAGTTCCTTTTGTCTTGCTGTGGATTCCTGCTGAACAAGGGATAAAAAAAATATTAAGCAATATATTAGCAAGAAATATTTAGAGAAACCATGAACTTTTTTTAATGGACCACCCTATCCAGTTTCTGTTCTTTTAAGGAAGTTTTTCCTGTTCATGACTCATTTCACTCTTTGGCTAACATCAAGGGAAATGGAATAACGATTAAGCAAAGGAATGTATGTTTTTTTTCTGGTTTTGTCCTTTTTTGCAAAACCTTTATGAATTTTCTGCATAACCTTGTGTAAATATGTATGGATGTAGAAGCCTGACAACTGTGACAAGGTAAAAAGTACACTACTAATACTTGCTTCATAGTATTTTTTTTTAATGTTCCTTTTGGTTCTACACGTTAATGTTATGCTGGATACTCCAGGCTCCCTATTCAGTTAAAATGACATGCTCCAGGCAGCCAATTACACAGAACTGTTAAGTGAAATTAATGAGATCACCCCTAGATTACACTTTGTGTTTTATTTTCATTTTATAGGTCTGTACGAGCTGCTGGCTGCATTGCCAGCCCAGCTGCAGCCACATGTGGACAGCCAGGAAGACCTGACCTTCCTCTGGGATATGTTTGGTGAAAAAAGCCTTCATTCACTGGTGAAGGTAAACCACATTTAAGTCAGATTCTCTTTGGGAAGAGCATATGGAAAAATGTTTTGAGCGCCATCTAGTAAACCAGTGATCAAACTGCTGCTCAATGAAAACAAAACAGCCTTGTTTTAACTCTGTTCTGTCAGGGGTGGAAGTTGTTAAATAAGATTCTACCAAAAATACATAGATGATTTCATTTAAGAGTGATGTTTTGGCAGTGTGATGCTAATGCAGCAAACATATGTTGTTTGCCTTGTTTAGAAAAAAAGCATACGAAATAGTAGCAGGAAATCTGAGACTTCTTTATGGTCAACATTCAAGACCTGGAGTTTAGCTTAAATAAATAAATGTTCACAGCAAAAATTAGAAGGAATATATTTTCTGAGGTCAAGTATGGCAACAGTTCAGTAGCCACATTAATTTAAAATAATTTCCTTTAACAAAGTCAACTGAAATTCTAGTAAGCTGTTTCTTTTATTGGCTTGCCTCCCTTTAAAATTGTGTTTTGCACATAAATATGTTGGACTTAAGTACAACCTAAAATAAGTTTGGAAGAATACTTGAGTATAGTGTCCTGCTAGGAAAATGATCAGCAACAAGAAATCAAAGCATGCCATAGGAGTATGCAGAGCTACCCTGAAAATGTTAAAATTGCTTATAGCAGAAAAATGGGGCCAATCAGCTGGTTAGAAATGTTCCAGTCCTACCAAATGGTAAGTATGTCTTCAGTCTCCAGTATGGAGCTACATCAGCTGGAAGGAAATTCTGAGGTCTCAAATGAATCAGTAGGTGGTAGTAACCCGTGCCTTGAATATACTGAGATTTGCAGATAATTGAGCAGAATTTGTTACCCTTGTCAGTCACTGATCTAGAGGAAGCCTGAAATTGGGATCGTTTCCGTGTAGGTTTGAAAGAGTCATCTTTCTCCATTTCTTTCAGTTATCTTGTTCTGGGAAAAAAATGTAATAATGTTGGCCACAATTATTTTTGAAATAGCTGAGAATTTGCATGTAAAAGTAAATGCAAATGCACTCTGGTAGTTGATACACAAAAGCAACAAATAGAGGAACAGTACTTGGCAGTACTTGCTTGCCTACAGAATTTCATCAAAGTTTCTGAAATGTGGTGATTCCCAGATTTACTGCTTTGCTGCAGCTGTCTGTTCAGGTGGCTCAGAGGATCACTGCAAGGGGAATACCAGTTCTCTTTTTAATATGGGCTGAACAGTGGTGTGCATCTAAGCAAAATGTTAGGTCAGTTGCTAAATTAGTTTTCTTTCTGCATTGGGAATTGAAGAAGGCTGGCTAGAAAATGAGTGCGGATCTGTGAAACACTAACATTTCAACATCTGCTGAAATTTTCTATTGAGACAAAGCCTAAATCTTTTCAAACTCCTTCACTTGCTTTCTTTTGCCCTTTCCTCCAAAAGGTAATAAAGATAGCACAACAGTTACTGCTTTACTCACCTTGAGTACTCTCAGTTTGGAAAAGTTGGCTCTCCTACTGGCTCTCATAGTTGCATGCCCTAGTTACCATGTTGCTTGTTATTGCAGGGTGGATGGTCTTTCTGATTTTAACAAAAAAGCATTCATGAGAAAGCTTTCTTGAGGCAGATTGAATGATTTGGGGAATAGTGAATGTTCACTTTATTGCAGTTACAACAAGACATTGAAGTATTCTAGCAATCTTTATTATTTATCTTCTGCGGTTTAGGTCCAAGCATTAAATGTCTGTGTAACTGACCCTGTGAACGGTTCTTTTAATGTAAGTCTCACTATATGTTAGAGTAGACTTCATTCTGAAAGCTGTATCTTTAGTGTTCGCTAGTTGCACTTCTTTAATGCACCGTATTCAAAAATACAATGCTTTAAAAATTATACTGAAATCAAGAGCGTCTGCTCTGACCCAGTGTATATCACAGGCTGTCAAGCCTCACCTTTTGATTTCTGTGGAGTTGAGGTGTAGACAGTAGGGGGTGAAGAGTTTACAAAAGGTTATCTAGTTCATATCCCTCCCCCAAGATGGGTGTAACTTTATCTGAAACTAATGGTATTTATTTGACCTTTAACACATTTTTAGGAGGATTATGCAGTATCCTATCAAGTTTCAGAGAAGGCAGTCCATAGGCTTTTTCAAAGAGAGCTGTAAGAGCAGAAGAATGAACCCCATCTGCCATAGTCTTTCCCTGTTACAAGGCTTCAGAAGTGCCAAATCTTCCTTTCTGGGTTCTGGTGTCTTATTTGAAAGACTCTTTTTTCCTAGCAATGACTTCTTAAAGTCAACTGTACTTGCAAAGACAACAAATGTTTTTAATTCCTGAGGCAGAGAATGATGACAGATATTTTGTAATTAAAAAAAAAAAAAAAAGAAAGGCATTAGCTTAGAGCCAAGGATGTTGTGATCCTGGTATGTGTCGGTTTTGGAAGCAAACGAGCATGTGTCTACTATTAATTAGGCAGCAAATCTTTATTTAAGATAGACACACTGCTTAATAAAAATTTCTGTGCTAATCTTCTTACTTTACTGTTAAATAATTTCAGGTATTAGAAACGAGCTGTTTTCCTAAGGGGTAAAATGCTCCAAATTGCTTGAAAGGTTGAAATACAAAATGAGCTTTCTACTTTTGTACAGATACTCTGTTTTATGGATAATTAAGTTTCATAATGTTTTTTGTATGGTTGCATACTATGGCATATGATTTGCTATTCTGACTCTCACAGTATTGAAAAGAAACAGAAAAAGAAAAGAAAAAAAAACCCTGAACCTTCAAACGTTGTCTTGAAGTTCTCTTCATTCAGTATTGTTGGACAGAAATCGCTTTGTGAACTTGGATCAGCCTGAGCTGTTCTAAGAAGTCAGAAATGGAAAAGTTGTATTAGATCATCTGGTCCATTCCCCTGCAAATACTGGATTGTTCCCTGCAGTACATTCCTATTGTAGTAAGTAAAACCAGCAAAAACTGATGCAACTGTTCTTGCTGTCCCTTTTCTCAGTAAAGGGATCTGTTGATTAGATTTTAGTTTGCAAAGTATAGAGGAGAGGGAACCCACAACCATTGCTGACAAGTTTGGAAGAGAAAACTGGCTCTGGATAAGTGAATGTTTAAAATATGTCTCTCATTCCCTCAATTTGTTACTTCCTTGTCTTGGTACATGGCTCTCCTAAGTTCTACCAGAAATCTTCAGCCATTTCATTACTTTTTATGTAGCAGAGGTCCCAGTAGTTCTGTAGAGATTTATAGAAAAGAAACATGAAGAGATCATCCTTCAGAGTAATTATGAGCAGTAACATAGCTAAAACCTGCAGTAGTACACATGTGCTCTGTTTGGATTTCTTTTTTAAGAGGAACAGAAGGGATAAATAAAGATCTGTTCTAATTACTCTTCTAGCTTATTTTTAGAGGAGCTGCAAGAATTTCCATGTGCATTTGCTTGCTGTTAGTGCACCAGACATGTTTTAGTGTTTGTCTGTTTAGCTCCAGGATGAAACTTCTACTTCCACTGCCTTAAACATTTCTGGTTGTGGATGTAATGCTCAAGAGTTGAGTAAGCTGATCTGCTGGGCTGCTACAGAAGTGTTTCTTAACCAATTGCAGTTTAGTGATTGGTCTTGGCCAGCTCAGAGCATGCACAGTTCTTCAGCCAGTACTATACTTTGCATTATGAAAAGAAACCACAGAAAGTGGTGTTGCTGTCCCTCTTGCTAGGGAGGAGTTTGTACATCCAAAAAGCTGTATGTGGGACTGGAAAAGAAAATAACTACTACAAAAATAGGGAATATTTAGTGAATCTGCTCTGATTTTATAACAGTTGCCTACTATCTTGATGGCTGCCCCTTCAACACCTAAATTTGTGCTAATTTTCTGTTAGTATTACTGGGATGTGACTTAACTTGAAGCTCTGAGAAATTATTTTGTATGTGCTAATGTTTGTCCATTTTGATGGCTAACAACTATTTCCAAAAATGTAATAGCTGAATGTGTCTTGGTGTAATTCCTTTGGCATGTAAATTGAATCATATGATTACATAGCCCAGATTTTACAATCATTGTGGTACAAAAGTATTGGGAATTTCTGGTGTGAAGACTCAGTTTTTTCAATATGTAAATGCTCTCATATATGAATATTAAATATGAACATATAGATTCATATATGAATAATCTTAATCATATGAATATATAATATATAATATTTATATTAATATGAAAATTGCTTTCAGTCTACTGTGGTTCCTTTGTTGGGAATGAGAAAAGTGAAGATAGCATTTACAAAAATGAGCTGACCAGGGCAAATCAAAAAGGATTGATTAGACACATGTTTATAGTGATAAAATCAATGATCTGCAGATGATGTGCTAAATCTTCAATGTGGACTGGTAAAAGCCTAGTTCATAGGCAAGTTTATATATGCATACAGTTTTTACCCAGAACTTTACACACAAAACTCCATGTTAATCTGTAAAATCAACAGCTTTGCATCTACAGTACAGAATCAGAGAATCTCTGTAAGGTTTCATGCCTTGTTTTATGTTAGAGGGCAGACTAACTCACAACTGTCCAACTCTTCACCTGAGAAGAGCTATACAGGTTCTTTTGGTGCTTATGGAGGGGTCGTATGGTGCAGGTTCTCCTACCCTGTGATGTGTCAGAAAATCTGCAGCCAGCATCCAGATGCATGCTACACAGATCATGTGTGTTCATTCACAGTGAATGCTCCTGCCTGGACATGAGCTCAAGCATCCACGTGTTTTGATTTTCTTCCCAAGGGAATGCAGAGGAAACAGATTTCAGATTCTGTGAGTTGTTTTGATGAGGTGTGTGTGACAACTGATTGTTCTGAACTCAGTGTTCTGATGGGGATGATGCATGGACTGAGGGAATGATACCTGTGTCAAAGGACTGGGAGTGTGATGGTGGCTGAGGATGATGTATTACATAATGTAAGACCTGAGTGTGACACAAATGACATAGAATGAAGGTTGAAGATTGTACTGAGCTGGTGTTTGGTTTTCTT